GCACTCTTCTCCCCCCTCCCCCCACAGAGGGAGATCCTTTGAAAGTCTGGGGCCTGGGCAGCCAAGTCCTGCTTGCACCCCAGCCCCAGCTCCTCATCCAGGGCTCCTTGCCTGGGAGCTCCAAGGAGCAGGCTTGGAATGGAAAGTGTCCATGAAAACCCTTGTTCTCTAAGGCCCCGATTGGGGTGCCTATGCATGCATGTGTTTTCTGGGGAGAGGGTCCCCGGCTTTCAGCAGAATCCAAAGAGTCCGTGAATCTTCTCAAAAGTCCACATCTGGACTCTCCGCCACCCCCCGCCCCCACCCCCCGGCTTCCTTCACCTTGAACAGCCGGTCTCACGCACTTATAAATAGAAACCCTCTCTGGACATGTATCTAGAGTGACAGCATGGGCCCATGACAGTCGGAGCAACACGCAGAGTCATCACCTGCCCTGCCCTCTCCTGGCCGGAAAGGCCACCATCTCCGGACCCTCCCTCTCTCCCCTCTGTTGCCCAGGAGACCGCTGGGCCGCCTGCCCTTCCCCTTCTCCCACACACTGTTGCCTCTTTTCTGGAATATGAGGTGAGCCCCTGCCCAGAGGGGGATGATGAGGAAGCTCCTGTGCCCCGAGACCTCCTCCTGGCACCTCCCCCCGCGCCCGCCTCCTCGAGCGGCCTTGCCCCAGTGCAGACCCAGGGAGACAGGTCCTGGGAGACAGCCTCTCTTCTGAGCTCCAGCCGCCTGCTGGGCAGACACCGGATGTCCTAGGGGCATCTCAATGCTTCGTCCTCCAGCCCAAATCTGCTCAAGCCCCAGTGCACCACCCCCAGCAGGAATCCGGATGCTGTCCATGCTGCCTCCTCTCCCAAATATCCGCTCAGTGTTGAGTCCTGCAGATTCAGCCACCCGCCAGCTCTCCTAGCCCTCTCCTCCCATCTCCAGGGACAGATGTGTGAACCGCCCGGACCACGGCAGCAGCCCTCTTGTCAGCCTCCCTGCCTCCTGTCTCCCCTCCCTGCCTTCAATTCCCCACAAGGCTTCCAGGAACACAGACCTGCTCCTCTTACTGACCTGCCTCAAACCTTTGTTGGAAACCTATCACCTTCAGAATAAAATCCAAACTCCATCTATGCCTCTCAGGACCCGGCCTCCAATTTTTTCCAAACTCATCTCTTATCATTTGCCGATCTCAGCCCCTACGCAGTACCTTGAACTCCTTATACTAGTAAACCACTCCATTTTGGTGCCTGGTATCTCTGGCCCTTGCCCACACGGTGCCCTCCCCTCCCCCTTCACCACTATGCCCCACTCTCTCTCCAAACTCAGCTCCAAGGTCATGTCCTACATGGAGCCCTCCTTGAATCCTTTTCCCAGTCTGGGTCATGGATTGTGCCTCTGTGCCTCCCTCTCCGAGCTTGTACTAATCAAGGAAATGTGACTGTTTACTTGTTGGTGACCTCTTGGAGAGGAAGGATGAAGTGCCGCAGGCCCAGTGGTGTGCTGGAGCCATCTCCCACCGGCTCAGGAGAACCAGCTGTGCGCATCCCTTCCCAGCTCCGCACTCAGTGACATCATGACGGCAGCTTAAAATTGGCCTCGGTGGGAGCATTTACACCACGGTAATTGGCAAATGCTACAACACTACAAATCAGAACTTCTTTTTCTTTCTCTTTTTAAGGGCTGATGGTTAAACATTTGTCAGTAGGCCACTGCTCAGGCCCAACTTTGACACACACAAAATGTGAGTGCAATGGATGGACGCCTGGGAAATTCATAGGAAGTTCCTTGCTCCACGTACTGCCCCCTAGTGGATGGGGCACACATGTGCTCACTCCCCATGTCCTCAGGGTCCCGTCCTTAGTCCCCTCTGGACAAACCAGTCCTGTCAGTCCTCCACCAGCCGGTGGGTTACGGGGTTGGGGAAGGAGGGCAGTGTGGACAGCATGGGGCCTCCCTTGGGTAGGGTGGGGTATGACAACATGGGTTCTTCCTCAGCCAAGATGTTGGTAGAGAGAGGCAGAAGAGGCCTCGCCATCCCCAGCAGGAACACTGAATGATGGGCAAGGTAGGTGACAGTGGAGAGGACAGGCCTGGGAGGGCAGCGGCACCTGGCAGGGAAGAGGGCTGGCTGCTCCCCCAGGAAGCACAGCACACCCTCTGCAGTGCCCCCCAGCCTGATCAATACCAGGACTGATGGACATGATCAGCTCATTACGTGCTCTGCAGGGGAACCATGAGCCTGTGTCAGCGTCTGCTGCCGCTCTCCCTGCTGTCGCTCTCAGCCTCTCTCCTTCCGTCTGCAAGGCTCCATCCGAGCCCGTCTCCCAGCCCTGCCCGGCCTGCCCTGGTCTGTCATCTGTTTCTGGGTCCGGCTCCCTCTCCATATCTCTCTGTCTCCGCACATGTCTCTGTGACTCCATCTGCTTCTGTCTCCTCCCCCTGAGTCTCTGTCCCCCCCCTTACAACTCTGTCCCTCTCGTCTCTGTCTTTCTATCTTTATATTTGCCTCTCTCCCCGGGGCTTCCTCTTGTCCTCTGTGCCGCCGTCTCTCCATCTCAGTCTCCCCCTTTCTCTCTCAGTGTCTCTTCTGCTGTGTCTCCATCTCCCCCTCTGGGTCTCTGTCTCTCGGCCCCCACGTCTCCTCACTTCCCTCCCTGCCCACCTCCCCCCCACCAGCCCGCTCAGGCTCCGGGGCCCAGATGGCGGGATGTTCACGCCGCAGTGCCTGCAAGCACGGGGCCATGGCTGCTCCTGGGACACCTCGCCACCCCCGGTCCCTAGGCCTGCCCGGCAGTCAGTCATCTGGCCAGCCTGCTGGGGACTCCCACTCACCCCTGCGGGGCTCTCAGCAGCCAGGTACTGGAACAAACTCCTCCCTGGCGCAGGCACCGCGCCACCACCGATGGGGGGATCCCTGCCAGCGAGGGCCTGGGGGGCCATCCCCTGCTTCCCTCAGGAACCTGGGCAAGGCGGTGCCGAGACACCCCTGACCGATCGCTGCTACTTTCTCTCCAAGCGGGTGTCCTTCTTGCTGTCTAACTGAAAGCCCTCTTGCTGCGCCTTCATCTGCCCTCGGTCTCTGTGACTCAGCTTCTTCCGAGTGCAAAGCCTCTGCCAGCCGCATCCGGCTGGGCAGAGACTGCTGGGCACACTGCCCCCCCCCCCCCAAGGAAAGCTCGGAAGAGGTGACCCCTGGGGGCAGGCACTGGCCACAGCCAGATCTGGGGTGAGGGAGAGGAGGCTGAGGTTCAGGCTCGGGGAGCTGGGGTAAAGGGAGGTCAGGAGCTGCCACCCCCTGGGGCCCGGCAGCAGAAGATGCTGCCCCCACCAGCCTGGAATAGCAGAGCAGCTCTCCTCAGGAGGCTGGCGGAGCAGGCAAGTGCCCACACCGCATGCCCCATGCTCCCAGACGCAACACGCCCACCACGGTGCCACACTCCCCTCCTGCTGGCACTGCAGCCGGTATCCTTCCTGCCCCCTCTGCCTCTCTCCTCCGCAGGGAAGGGATCCAGCAGAGCCGGCTGGGGTGGGGGGCCTGAGGCAAGCAGAAGGGATGCCAAGGTGTGTGATGGCGATGGGGGAGAGGTTGGGGGTGGGGCACACCTGGCTGGACAGGGTGACTGGGGTAAGAGCTGAGTGCTCACAACACTCAGAGGTCAGTGGGGTGAGGGAGGTGGCTTCCAATCTCCTGGAAAATGAACACCTCATGTTTTCCCAGCCCCAGCTTGGGCCTACGCTCCCCAGCCTCACCCGAGACCCCTACTTCCTCCCTCCCCTGGGGACGCTGGCAAGCCAGACCCAGACCCTGACTCAGAGCTGCCCTACCCCTTCCCACACCTCCGGCCCCTACATGCCCCTACCTACCCACAACGAGGGGGGCTGGGCAAGCACATGGCCTTGGTGCCACACCAGGGACAGTCAGGTCCTGGTGACCCAGTTCCCTCCCTGAGCCACAGGAAGGCAAGACACACCCAGGAGAGAAGAGCGCAGAGGGCCTGTGGACGGCAGCACCTGCCGGCTGCCTCCTCCTTTTATAAGAATCCGCCAAGGGGGTGACCTGGAAGGCCACCTCGGGGGGGAAGGACTGCTTTCTGGAAGGAACCTTGTGGGGGAGGCAGCCAAGCCTGCTTGTGAGGCCCCCTGGTGCCTACTCCCATGCCCAGGGAGGGAGAGGTGGGGGTCCCTGGGTCCCCCAGGCCACAATTCTGTCCTTGCACTGAGAGCTCTGAGAGCGAGGGCCGCCTCCTCCCCTCAGCCCAGATTCCTCTGCTTGCAGCCATCGCCCCACAAAACAAGCCTGCTCCCTCTTCCACATGATGGCCCTTCAACATCTGACGACAGCTTGCCTGCCCCTGCTGAGTCTCCTTTTCTCCCGACTTAAACACCCAGGTTCTTAGAATGAATCCTCAAACGCGACGGTTTCAAGTCCCCTCACCACGCTAGGTGCTCTCATCCACACAGCACCCCGCTCACAGCGAGGCTCCCAGATCAGAGGCCAGGCCCAGGCAGCCTGACTGCATCCAGGCGCAGCCACCAACCCTCCACCCCTCACCCCTACCTACTCAGTGCCCTTCTAGTCAATCACGATCCTAATTATGAGTCAGGTGAACGCTAGGGGATCCCCCAACCCCTCCCCTCCCCCCATATCTTCTCCGAAGATCCAAATCTCTCCCAGTGACTTGTCCCTCCAAAGAGGCCTTGCCCACAGCTGATGCTCCTCACTCACTCACATCCTTCAAAGCCTGGCTCCTCTGGGAAGCCGTCCCAGGAAGATCACACCCAGCTCAGACCCTGCCCCTGCCCCTGCCCCTGCCTCTGCCCGGCAGCGCCCAGACTCAGACACTGCGTGACATTCACTGGTTTCCACCCTCCAACGCGTCCCCACGCGCTGCTGCGCCCCCCCGCTGTCCTCCCTGCCACGCAGACTAGCAGCATGGAGAGGCAGCTGAGCACAGCAGGTGGGAGGGGAGGAAGGCAGAGGGTCCCCAGCCCCAGGGACCATCGTGCCCTTGCCCTACCTGCTCGTGGTACTCGATGCCCATGCTGAGCGTGTTGACCAGGATGGCAATCATGATGCCCCGACCAAAGTACTTGCTGTCCACAATCTTGCGGAAGGTGTCACAGATCAGCCTCCAGAAGGCCAGCACGGAGCTGGGCTCCACATCCAGCCCCAGGCTGCGTCGCCGTCGACCCTGGGGGTCCCGGAGTTCGCCGTGCGGGGCGTCCTGCGTGAACTCATAAACCGCCTCGCTGTCTGAGTCAGGCATCTCGGGGCCGGCGAGCTCCACCTCCCCTGCCCCAGCCCGGGCACAGTAGGGGCAGCTGTCGGGGCCACAGGCTCCACGGTCTGCCTTCAAGCAAGGGCTGGAGATCTTGCAGGAGCTTTGGCAGGTGCCTGAGACAGGAGGGTAGAGGTTAGAGGCTCCAGGGTTTCTTAGTTGGGGCGGCCTTCCCTCAGAGGGTGGATGAAATGAGTGGGGAGCATGGGGTTGTTACGATGATGGGGTACTGGGCACTCAGTGGGCCAGGGGTGCCGAATGCCCTACAGTGCAAGCAGTTCTGAGCGACAGAATGCTCCCGAATGCCAACAGCATCCTTCTGACAGTCGCTGCAGGGTGTCCTAGGGTCGGGCAGGGGGCCTTGATGTCCTCTGAGGTCCTGGGAAGCTCTTATGTGAGGTCCGAGGAGCCTTCAGCACGGAGCTTAGGTCATCTCTACATCCCAGGACGCAGGCCCGACACCAACACTGCTCTGAGCAGTGTTTCCCAAAGGACTCTTAAGTCACACGCCCTCACACGTGTGCTCATGTACACACCAGACACATGCACATGTGCGCGATAGACACTCCATGTGCATAAGCATATGTACTGTGTACACACATACTATTTGCATGCCACACATGCACAGCCAAACACATGTGCACACAGACACATGAAAATCACACACTGCACATGTACACATGGGCATGCATACACACCAGACAGGAGCATTACTCCTGTGTGCGCACACATGCACCTACACCATCAGATACCTATGCACACATATACACACGAACACCAGACACATGCACATGTACAGACACACATACAGGACACCTTCATGTGTACACACACACACACACACACAGTGACCTGTCCTCAGACATAAATGCCCATTTAAACGCAGCTTTGACCATAACATATGAGAGCTGAAAGGAACCTGAGGAACCACCCAGGGAAAGCAGGTACGAGCAGGCACCCGGCTAAGAGCCCAGCCCCTAGTAGACATCCAACACTGTTTCCCCTTCCGACTGCACACAGCAAGGTGCCCCTAAGCATCCACCGCCCATGCTGGTCCCAGCCCTGCCTTCTCTAGAGCAGGGAGCTGAAACGTGCAACTGGCTCGCGTCACGTGGCGGGTAGTGGAAGAGTTGGCACCAGATCCCTTCGCACTGCGTTCTGTGATAACACCTTCCTATCCCAGCCCGCATTCCCACATAACATCCCACAAATACACCACTTCTCCCACGTGCCAAATCCTTCCTGAAATACAGGCCCCGGGCTGTGCTGACAGTGAGTCTGTCTGTGGAAGGGGGCCCGCCGCCCCTGCCTGACTGGGGGACACCCCAGGCAGCGAGCACCTCACTCCTGACAGTGGGTGCTCCTCTCATCAGAATAACAGCCCCCTGCGGGCTTGCTGCTCCAGGCCCCCGTCTCCCTGTGGGGAGGGGTTAAAACTCATGCTCAGGAGAGCGTGGTGCTGGCCCACAGTCAGACACCATTTCTCCTCCAAGCCTTGCAACAGGGGGTCTCGGCATAGAGCCGGGGCCTCAGAGTCAGGTGGTCCTACATCCACCCCTCACTAATGCCACAACCTTGGACCTCGACCTGCAACCTCTCCGAGCCTCCCTTTCTCTCATCAGTGAAATCGGGTCAAAAAGAAAGCTGATCATTTAAACTGGAGGAGCCAACAGGATTTTGCCTGCAAGGCATGTGACAGGCACAGAGCAATGGGCCAACAACCCTAGGTGTTATAGCAAACAGCGCAGAGCGTGTAGCAAGCAGGTGCCTATTACATGATGGTTATTGTTATTATTACAATGTGGGAACCATAATTCCCATTTAACAGGAGAGAAAAGTAGGGCTCCAAGAAGTCATGTGACTGATGGAAGGTCCCAAGGCTGTGAGTGGCAGAATGGGGATCCAAGCCCAGTCCTTCTGACTCCAGACCCCCAGGCCCCTCTGGGACACCACCCGGCCCCGGGATAAGAGGCAGCAACATGTCCCTCCCCTCCCCCCCGGCCCCGCAGAGCTCTCACCTGTACTCTGCGTCTCTAGCAGCTTGTGCATGGAGCTGTAGCGCTCAGGTGGGATGTTGAGGCTGGTGAGGGTGGGGGGTCCGGAAGTGGGGGCCACCTCAAGTGCCTTCTCCTTCAGCATCTCTGGTGGAGGGCTGGTGTGCACCGTGGGGTACACCTTCCCGCTGCTCACAGTCCTGCCTGATGCCTCGGATGGCGACCTGGGCGGGGGTGCCTGGCAGCGGACCGGCTCCAAGTGGCAGTCGGCATGGTAGAAGCTGTGCACAGCCTCTGCGCCCCGAGGAGGGCCCCCAGAGAGGGCCGGTGTCGAGGGTGGTGGCAGCATGAGCCGGCGGGACCCATTGGCATCCCGATCCTGGATCTCTGGGCTGGCCCGGGGGCCCCGTAGCGTCCCGTTGCCCAGGTGGTAGTGATGGTGGTGGTGGTGGTGGTGGTGCACCAGGTGATGGACGGACGGGCGGCGATGGGAGCGTGAGCAGCTGCCACTGGGCTGGGGCTCCTGGACCCCCAGGGGCGCCGGGCTGAGCAGCCCGGCCCGCACGCCCACTGCCCGAGAAACCTGGGCCAGCCTGCGGGCTGCTTTACGGAGGATGTACACCAGGTATTTGAGCAGCTCTTCGTAGCAGCTGCCCGGCTCCGAGAAGCTGGCCAGGGTACTGGCGTTGGATAGGAACCGCACGCGCTGCTCCCGCATCAGCTGGCTCTCCCGCTGCTTGGTCTCCGAGAACTGCGTGGCAATCACCACCAGGCACAGGTTGATCATGAAGAAGGAGCCCACCTGTTGGGGTGGGGACAGCAAGAGGAGACAGTCCTGAAGAAGAGGGAATCACAATGCCAGCCACCGAGCACGGAGCCCTGGGCTCAGCAACTGTCCAAGCGCTATCTCATTGCATTCTTTTAACACTCTCAAGAGGTGATACTTCTATTATCTTCCTTTGGCGGCGAGGAAACTGAGGCTCAGAGGGTTTGAGAATCTGCCCAAGACCCTTCAGCTAATGTACGGCACAGCTAAGGCCTGCACCAAGCTCTCCGGGATCCCAAGGCATTGCTAGGGATCCCGGTGCCGCCCTGCAAGGATGTCTCCCGCACTCCCTGCCCCTAAATGTGCCTGTGCGCAGATTCTGGACACCCCTCCCCAGTTCCCACCAGGAGCAGAGAAGGCTGGGGAAATGAACCCAGTCTTGGGGACATGGGGTTTCCACACTGGATTGAGCTTTTGAGATGTTGGCACAAAGCTTGTCCACAAGACTCCTGCTTCCAGTCCCAGTTCTAGCTGTGTGACCTTGAGGGAGAGATTCTTAACCTTGGGTCCGCAGTGTGCTCACGGCCATTGGCTTTGCCTGTATCCCTTTTCCCCAGGCTCACCCCCTCGCCCAGCCAGGGGATGGGCTGGACCCTGAACCCTGCAGACTAGCCAAGCTGTCACTCTGACTTGTCCACACTCTCCTGTCCCCATCTCCATGCCTCAGTTTCCCTAGAGTTCTGGGATGGCTGTTGCTTGGACAATAATCCAGAAGGAAGGAAATGAATATTTATGGTGACAAAGCAGTTTTGTTTTTCTGAATTGTGTCCTAGTAATTATGATAATTAGCTTCACTAGTGTGAGTCCAGAGAGCTGTTGGGAAAGATTTCTCAGGGGGTGTGTGGGAGGGTGGAAACTGGGCCCCTTACCTCCCTGTCTACTTCCTTCCCCCTCACCCAAGCCCAGAGAGAACAGCAGAGGGAAAAGAACAGGCTTCCACAAGGCACTGATGGGGGACGCCCGGCCCCCCCTCCAGGTCCTGATGGGGGATGGGAACAGGCCCCCAGCCTGGCTACTCTTTCCCACTAGGGAATGTTGCAGGGGCAGGAGGGGGTGGCCTGGAGGACTTGTTCCTTCTCAGGGCCTATCCGCTGTCTCTCACGGCCTTATTCTGTCTCCACCTCTCTCTGAAGCTTGCCCTAAATCCTGTGTAGATTTTAATCTCTTTCTCTCAATATCTGTCCCTCTGTCGGCTCTGTCATTGGCCTCTTGGTGGCAGGGGAAAAGGGCTGGACGTGGAGTCAATAGCCTGGGGTTGATTTCTCGGCTCCAGCCACTTAGCCTGGTGACCAAGCCCTCTGAAGCCCAGAGTTCTCATTTAGGAGCTGAGGCCCCATTCGCTGAACCCCCTTCCCCAGGGACTATGAGGACGCAGCCGGCAGCAGCTGCTACAGTGCACAACAGCATCAACGCCCCACCCAGCAAGATTAATCCACAGCACATGCCAAGCTCACGCTGAGGTCAGACCAAGGAGGACACATTGGTCTCCTCATCTGCTAAGTGGAAATGATAACAGGATTCTGGTGAGAATTAAATACACCAGCAATAAAAAGTGCTTAGAGCAGGGCCTGGAGCACAGTACCAGGTGTACCCGTTAACAACGCGGATTTGGTACATACCGGTCAACGATGCAAAATCCGCATTGTTAACCGGTACACCTTGTAAGCGCTCAACAAATATTAGCTATAAGGAGTAAGCAATCAAATTGTTAAACGATGAACAGTAGCGACTTGAATTTTAAACACTGCTACTTTTGCCTCTGTCTTCTGCCCTCATTCAGTCTTGGAACTTCTGAGCTGGAAGGAGCAGGAGATCATGCAGTGTTTCTTAATAGCAAATGATGGGAATTTGGGGTGGAAGAAATCATTTTGCAGAATGTTTACCACCTCCTGCCTGCTCCCCAAGAAAGGGCCAATAGTGCTCTCCCAGTCCTGGCGAAAAACCGGGACCACCCTTTGCCACTTGCGGAGGTGGTATCACCCTGGGCAGAGGTCCAGGGTGGGGCTGGGAGCCCGGTAGGAATGACTCGCCCGCCCTAAGTTGTGAGTGGTGGTAAGTGCGAGAGTCAGGCCTTGACCTTGCATTTCCTCCCGAGCTCTCCTGACAGGTGCCCTCTCTGTCTGCGCCTCAGTGGGACTTGTCCTGAGAGCTAGAACTTCAGACCGAGCAAGCTTTCCCCTCTCTGGACTTCCCCGGCCCGCTTCCCTAGGCTCCCCCATCCCCTCGGGGGCCTGCGGAATCACTCACGATGATGAGGAGGATGAAGTAGATGAAGTTGTAGAAGGAATGAGCATCCATCACAAAGTACATGATGTCGACCCAGCCCTCCAGCGTGATGACCTGGGGAGGTGGCAGAGGGGCAGGCTGACTCCAGGCCCCCTAAAGCCTCCTGCAACCTCCTTCAGAGGCCCTGACCCCACCCCCACACGGACAATGACCGCTCCAGCCTGGACTGCGCAAGCTCCCGACCCCCAGGCTGCCCCACCTGGAAGATGGCGATCCAGGCGTAGCCGATGTTGTCGAAGTTGATGGCGCCCTTGAAGGGGTTGTGCTCCCCGGCAGAGCAGTTGGTGTAGTACTGGTTCCAGTTGACACAGGTGGTGTTGCTGGAGCTGTTGTAGGCCTCGTAGTCCAGGCCGCAGGGGGAGCCGCCCCCGCCCTCCCCACGCAGGGTGGGCACGCTCCTGCAGGAGCGCATGCCGTTCTCCCGGGGCTGGGAGCAGATGAAGGGGTTCTCGTCCTCGTTCTCCGTCTGGTAATAGGGCTCCAGATCCACGCTCAGGGGGCTGTGGGGGTGAAAGGGATGAGGCTGGGGGGGGGGCGTTCCCCGGGGGGCAGGCCCCAGAAGGGAGAACTGCACGTGTGCGCCGAGGCACGTGGGGTGAGCAGGGAAAGCACCAGAGTCCGGGCAAGCACCGGGCAGGTGGGGATTGGTGAGTGTGGATAGGGAGCGTGAGGACTGGGTCGGGATCTTGGGAGGTTTGTCCCATGAGGCTGCCTATCAGGCTCACTGAGGAGCTTTTAACACTCCCCAGGCCTAGGGCTGACCCCCAGACCAGTGGAATCGGAATCTGTGGGGGTGCGACCCAGGCCTCAAAAATTTCTTAAGCTCCCCAAGTGACTCTAATGTGGGAGTTTGAGAACCAGACGTGTCACGGAGATGAGGACAGATATGTCGATAGCAACAGGGACTGAGGGCGGTCCCAGCCCCCCACAGCCACTCGCAGCCCCTACCCTCCACCCCTCCACCCCCAGACCCTGGGACACTCACAGGCTGAAGTTCTCGGGCAGGAAGCATCGGTTCCGGAGCAGCCCTGCCCACAGCTGGACGCCCACGATGCCGAAGATGAAGAAGACGAAGAAGCAGAGCAGCAGGACGTTGCCCAGCATGGGCAGCGTGTCCAGCAGCAGCGTGACAAGGATGCGCATGCCTGTGGGGGGCAGAAGCCACGCTGGGGGCGCCAGGCTGGCCGGCCTTGGCTGGCTGCCACGGGCCTGGCAGCACTCCCAGAGGGGGCCCACCAGGGCCTCTGAGGCTGAGACCCACCCACAGACACCTCTAGCTCCGCAGGCAGCCCTTTGCAGCTGCTAACTCTACCAGCGACCTCTCCGGGCCCCCCATATTAATCGGTGTGCGGGACCACCAAGGGTGAGCCAGGGTAACCGCCCTTCCCGAAGCACCCTCCTGCACCCCATCCCACCTAACATCATCCCGGCGTAAATGTCAGCCTCAGTTTACAGAGGAGGGTCGAGTTCCAGAAAACTGACATGACTGGTCCAGGGCCGGTCATTGTAGGTGCCAGGACTTGAACCAGGCCCTGCGTCCGAATCCCATTACACACACACACACACACACACACACACACACACTCACACACACTCACACACACACTCACACACACACACTCACACACACTCCCCTCCTAGTCTTGCTCTCGCCACAGTCAGCTGACCTTTTCCTAAGTTACTGCCACCACAGTCACTGGGGAAACTGAGGCAGAGAACTCCAGGAGGGAAGTTAGCAGGCAGGGCTCTCACTCGGAGATCCAGGCCCTCAGTCGGGGCTGAGTTGCCCTGCGCTCCACCGCAGTTCTCAGACCCCTGCCCCCAGCCTACCCTCTGTGTGGTCCAGATCCCACCCCAGGACCCGACGGGCACACACACGCAAGGCTATCTTCCCAGGTGGCCATCAAGTAGCAACATCTTCCCAGGGAAAAGCCACCACGACCCCACTCTCCCTTACCGCGTCAGGTCCAGGACCAATCTACCTACAAGGTCTGAACCAGCCTCCAGCCTCCAGGCCCCTGTCAAACTCACAGACATTTCATGGCTGGTTTTGACTCCCAAAGTGCTGCTTCCAGTCCCCTGCTCCCTCCAGGGGAAAAGCTTCTAAGTGGCAGCTAATTAACAGGCTTGGTGACTGCAGCTGCCCTGTCCCTGCCCCTAGCAGCCCAGTGTTCTCACTTCGTGCCTCTCCCTCTCCTCCAGCCCCATCCCCCTTCAGCTCCTCGGTGCTCCAGCTGAGATCAATCCCTCAGGGTTTGCATTAAGGGAATTACACCGGTGGGTAGACAGAAGCCTATAAATCTGCCAGCCATCACCTGGGCGGGAGAGGGGAGAGGAGGCGAAGGCAGGCCTCGCCCGGAGCTCCTGTGAACACCAGCACAGCACAGCACCTGGAGGACACACTGAGCAGCTCTGCCCACCCAGAGGCAGCTCATCACACACACAAGATGCGTCATGCGCACGCATGCACACGCACGCACACAGCAAAGGGGGCTGCCGCCACACGACTCCCAGAAACGGGCTCCCCCAACCCACCCCACTCCTGGGATTTCAGCAAAGACCATCTGCAGCTTGTGTAGGTTAGGGAGTTGCAAAGGGGGCCTGAGCAAGGGTGGGGGGCAGGATGTGTGCGGAGCTAGAACTGCCAAAGCGTCGTTGGCTCGGGGAACCAATGCGGTTTAATTTAGATAATGGTCCCGGCAGTCAGTTGCTATGATGAGTTGGAAGGGGGTGAGCATGGAGAAGGGGATACAGGTGGGAGGGTGAGGCACGGAGTGGCCTTGTCTTGAGCTTGAGACCATTGTGGTCTCACCAATGAGACCCCCACTGCAGGAGAGGCTTCTGGCTAGAAAAGGCCGAGGCGCCTTGCACCCACTCCTGGCCCGCCATCCTCTCTACCTCGTTCTCATCACCCCTCTCCCAGGAAAGGAGTCATCTGAGACACTTCTGAGACTCGGACCCAAAATCAGGCTAAAATGAGGGGGGAGGGTCTTTCCGGGTAATTCTTACAGAGCCACAGCCAGGGGGAGGGGCTCCTTTTGGCTTCAGTGACCCTAGCTCCCCACTAAGCCCTTCCTTGATAAGGCCTGTGAGTGGTCAGGGGGTAGGGGTGGGGTCTGAGATGTCCATATTTCCTCTTGGGGCTCTCCGTCCAGGGGCTGAGGGCCGAGGGGTCACTCACTGGGCACCCGGTTAATGGCCCTGAGCGGTCGCAGCACACGGACTGTCCTGACAGCTGAGAAGCTGACGTTCTGCAGGTCCAGCGAATACTCCAGCATCCTGCAGGGAGGGGCCCAAAGGGAGGCCCTTTGAGTCTGAGGCCGCCATGGGGGTCAAAAGAGGTGAGTGAGGAAGCCTGCGGCAGAGGTGCAGCACAAACTCCGACCCCTCCCCGCCTCCACCCAGGGACCCTGCATTGGGAGTGGACGGGGAGGCCATGGATTCAGAGAAGTACAGGCTGGACAGCCTCGGGCCCTTAGTGAACAGGGAGCAGCACTGTAGGTGAGCTGGGGTGAGGGCCAGGCCGAGGACTCTGGCCTTAGGGATGGGACTGATCTAATCCATTTCTTGCCCACACCCAGCCCAGGATCTCACCCTGCAATAACGATGAAAAAGTCCAGCCGGTTCCAAGTGTCTCCCAGGTAACACTTTTTCCCAAAGATTCCCAAGGCCACCATCTTCACCACCATCTCCACGGCGAAGAAGGCAAAGATGAAGTCATCAAAGGCCTGGTGTGGGGATGAGAGGCTGCTGAAACTGAGAAGGGGGTGGGGGAATATGCCCACCCCCACCCCATCAGCGGGGTCAGGGCCTCTTGCAGAGAAGGGGTCAGGATTATTAAGACCCTACTGCACACACATTCACCTGCAGGATCCGGCAGCGCTGGGAGTCACAGGCAATGTCCTCACACGGCCGGAACATGCCCAGAGTCACACAGTTGAGAAGGATGACCAACATGCTGATACGCTCAAACCAGGTAAACAGGTGGTCAAGGAAACAGCAGGCCAGGGCTGGAACTGAGCCCATGCCCCCACCCCCCACCCCCGTGCCTCCTGCTTCTTGACCTCCCAACCCCATCTGACAGGTGCAATGGGAAGGCCCTGGCCCCGTCGCACCTTGGTCCTCTCGCCCCTCTGGACCCAGCTTCCTCCTCTGTAAAGTCAGAAAAGCCATAAATACCCTGACTATTTACACAAGCCATTTGGGGAATAAAATCGATCGCACTTATGGAAATGCCAGACACCAAGAGTTTGCTGCTGAATCTGAATCCTATTCTCCTACCTCCCAGGGAAGATGTGAGAAGCAAATGAGATAATGTATGTGAATGTGTGACACAAACCTAAAGTCGGATCCTGTCTGCCTTACAGTTTACCAAGCACTCTCACACCATGCCACGTGCGGTGCTCACAACAGCCCTCGAGGTGTCTGGGGGAGATGGTTTTCTCCCCCAGAACCCAAGGAAACTGAGGCTCAGAGAGCCAAAGTCCTGTGCTCAAGGTCACAAGAAAAGCCAGCAGGAGACAGGTTCAAGCATGCAGGGCAAGGGCTGTCATGGCCACACCGGCACCAGACAGACAGGCAGAGGCAGCCAAGAGGGCCCACGGCTTCTCCACAGCATCAGAGCCCGCGGCTGCCTCTTCCACCACCAGCCCCCCTGGCCTCTCAAAGACCTCAGATGGCCTCTAGACACAGTCACGCGTTAAAGAATGCGCACCCACGACACACCATGCCCTGTGCCGGACACAAGCCCCCAGCCTGTGCGGAGTGGACAGTACAGTACCCTGCACACACAGACCAGGCTGCCATCACACCTTCTTGTGGCTTCCAGCAAAGCCCGAGCCCAGACCAACTAAAACAGACGCTGTTTTGCAGGAATGGGGAGAGAGGAGTCTTTCTAAAACCTGATTCTTTCCACATAGTGTATTTCATCAAGGGGCTCACTTCCAGCCCATCAGCAAGGGATGTATAAAATGGTCTCTGGACCTTAGAAGGTTCTGGACACCAGACACACAGCTCAGTGACAAGCAGCCTATTTTTCTCAAGGAAAATATGAGAGGAGTGGGGAAGAGCAAAGAGGTTGGAAACAAGCAGAGGTTGGGGTTCAAGGGATGGAGGGAGGGTCTGATCACAGCATGACCCACCAAGCCAGAAGCAGTGGGTAGAGGGCCCAGGAGAGACAAGACCTTCCTGTTTTAACTCCACTTCTAGAGTGAGAAGCCTCTGACCAAGACCCAATGACTTTCTTCCCGGCTGATCCTAGCCACACCCCATCTCTGTCCTGAACCTGGCCATGCCCCCTGGCCAGGAGCCCCTGACTCCCTCCATCCCTCCATAGCCCTCCTCCCCTCCTCTGCCAGCCAGGCCCTCTTCTCTCAGACATCAGTTCCCTCCATCAGATACCCAACTGTCCCCAGACGCTCCAAGTTCCCTACCCTCTACCTCCTTCCAAGAGTAAAAGTTAGAGAAGAAAAGAAGTTCTAGGTTTCTGGGGTAAGTAGATGGAAGTGGGAAATAAAGTGTTCTGTTTCCATGGAGCTGTTTTCCTGAGTGGAACTGGAGCCCAATGTGTCTCTCTCCAGAATAGGGGTCAGCCAGGGGTCACCCTGGAAAAGGGGAGACAGGGAGGGAGCTCCCGTGGGGCTATCATCCAGAAAAGGAAAGACACAATTACTCTTGATCTGCTTTCTCCAAGCTAGCCCCTCTCCTCTCCTCTGCAGGGAAGAGACCCATGTGAGCATACACCTCTGCATGGGGGAGGGTCGGCAGTTCTGGGAAGAGTGGCTCCTGGGACACCTGTTTGAACCCCTCTAATGGCAGTGGCTCCACCCTGTCATTCTAGTCACCTATCTCATCTCCCTTGCCAAGGCAGGGCGCTCTGATACATCTTTATATACCCCACAAAGCTTAGAGTAGTGCCTGACATACAGCAGATGATCAATACATGGGAAGAGGAAATGAATGAATCAATGAATGAACGAGTCAGTCAACTGGTCAATCCATCTCCCTGCCTAGAAGCTAGATGTTTTTCCCCATTCATGTTTTCCTGCCTTATTTGCCCTGATAACCAAGGTGGTAGGTGGGGTGGAGAGGGCAGAGGTACAGAAGTGACACCATAGGGGAGCCATCCCTCCTATCCCTGCTTCATCCATGCTCACACTGGGGCCTCTGGTAGCCAGAGTCTGCCTCCAAACAATCCCATCTCCAGCTCTTAACCACAGAAGCCCCGTCTCAAGGGCCCCCTTAGCAATTCAACTTATTCCCATGTACATCCTGCTCTCTCTCTCCTTCTCTCCTCTCCCTACAGACGAACATAAATGGACAGGGAAGACACCAGGCACAGAAAAATGTGGGGCAATCTGAATTAAGGAATAATTAATAGGGCTGGGGGGGGGGGTCTTGCACCTTTCTCAAAGAAGAGCTTGTTTCCTTGGGAATATAGCCGTATGTCACTGTGTGATGTTCCTCTGTTGCCATAACTACAGGAGGATGTGTCACCAGGTGGTGTGGATTTGTTGCCATGGTAATTAAAAGGACCCCTCACACATGAACTCCCCTTACCTAGGCTGCTGTCTAGTCCTCAAGCAGGGAAGGAGAAGCAGGGAGACCCACAGGTTATCAACTTGGGGGGAAACCATGTGACAAAGCTCCATAGCAACCAAGAGAACGGGGGACACTGGTTGCTATAGTGACTATGAGAGACCTGTGCGGTCACATGTCTACTGTTGCTATGGTGACTGTCCGGGCTGGAGTGGATCCCAAAGGGAAAAGTGGGTAGGAGAGGGGAGGATCTTTCTTTTCCTCACAACCCACCATCAAAAGCAGAGAAAAAGGAAATGGCAGGGCGAGGGACCCCACTTCCATGGCTCCTCCTCTTCTCCCTCCAGGAGCGAGAACTAGAGCATGTTATCTGCATAACTCAGTCCTCTCTGTGGGGCTTTATCTAGAGCCCTTGCCTAACCTGGCAGCTGTAAGGGAGAGGGAGGTGGGAGAGGCGGGAGGAGGGCTGGGACACCTCCAGAGGGGGGGGGGGGTCTAAATGGGGCAGGGGGTGGTATGAACAGGGCATGACTGAGAAGGGGAGCAGGCCCTCCACCTGCCCATTCCCCACTAGGAACCTGGAAATCTGAAACGGAGGAGCACTGAGGAGCCGGCCTGGACCCAGGAATCCTGGCCTCCTAGTAGTTGGTCGGAAGGTGGGGTGCTGTTCTCAGCCACTCCATGGGATTCAGCATTCCCCAGGTTGTGGTGGGATAAAGGGGCTCAGCAGCAAGGCTCCTGCTAGGAAGGCAGACAGGGGGATTCCCCCGCCGAGCCCCCCCTCTCCCACACGCCTGCTTCCCAGTGGTCTCCCCGCCACCAGCTCCAGCATGTGGGTGTGTGGGGAGAGAGGCTTCCAGCTGAACTGAAAACTGAAGCCTGAAGAAAGGCAGCCGGCCCCACCCAGAGACAGAGACGTGAGGCAGAGACACAAGAGAGCCGGCCTGCTGGAATCTTTGGAGAGGAAATAGGCCAGAAATCCGATTCAAATGTCTGTGAGTGTGTGTGAGTGTGTGTGTGTGTGTGAGTGTGTGTGTGAGCAGTTGTGTCTGTCGCCATCCTGGCTGAGGCAGGCAGGGTGGGGTGAGAGCAGGCGATGGGTAAGGGGGGCAGTGTGTTGGGGGTAATCCCAGGAATGGCTCCAACTGGCACTATGGGTGATGGGGAGTCCCCCAACAGTTCTGTGGAGCCGAGTGGGTGTGTGACCCAGAAGGAAGGCGTGCCCAGGACAAAAAGAGGCTCTGTCCCACCCCCCTGCTACCCCCCACCCCGTCCTATTCAATTCTTTAACCCCAGCCCTTCTCCCCAGAACCCCCCTGGAGAACCTTGGGTTTGCACATGGGAGGACGGCATCAGTGAAGAGACAGAAAGAACCCCCTCTCCCATTTCCTCTCAGGACCAAAATGGAGACTTCTCCCCAGGTAGGAGAAGCAGGCAGACGTGGGGCACTGGGACAGGGGCAAGGAAAGCTCCAGAAATTCCGGGTGCCCCCTCCCCTCCAGACGCACACACGCAGACACACACAGTGACGCAGTCACACACTCACACTCACTTCTGGAAGCCATTAGGGTTCCTGCCCGTCCAGGCCTCCCCCTCCTCCTCCCCCCACTCCTGGCAGGCTCCCCTCTCCCCCTCGGGCCCCCCTCCCCCTTCTCAGCATCCCAAATGCCAGCCTGTGATTTCCAAATGAGAAAAAGCTGTGCTGGGCTCTGAGCTTGGAGAAACTCCTACACAAACTTCCAGATGTGACACAGCAGCCGGAGAGGGAATGCTCAGCATCTCCTTCCCGGGAGGGGAGGCGCACTCCCTCACACTTGAAGAAACACACACTGGGAAGTCCACCACACTCCCTGTAACCTGGGAGGAGGGGGCCTTTCTGACTCTGCATCGACTGTCTGGGAGCACCCCTGGCCTCCCCAATACCAAAACACGAACTTCCCAGCCTCTCTTCCTTCTGCTGCCACCCCTACCTCCCCAACACACACACACACACACACACACACACACACACACACACACACACCCTCTACCTGGGTCTAGATCTCCTCTCTAGGAAACCTGGTCGCTTAAAGAGGCCAAGAGAGCAGGGGACCGAGAAGAATGCCCCCAAGAGTCTCACTAGCTCCGGTGACTTGGGGGAAGGTGTCCTCGGGCCTCGGGTTCAGAGGTGCAGAGAGACCGTGTGGAGCCACGGGAAGCTCCACAGAAAGTAAAGAGACAGAAAGGGAGCCGCTGAGGCCCAGTCGGTCCAAGCGCCTCTGGTAGTAACAGCACAGGTTTCTCTTGGCACCTGGGCGAGTGGGAGGGGTGGGGGCGCACTTAGGCAGCCCACTGGCCAAGAAATTGTCCTCGACCCACCCTCAGCCAATCTAGCCCAAGAGGCTTGTCCAGACCTAGTGATGCCGTGCCGCACGCCCTGGGCTCCCACCGCCCCAGAGGAAAGCTTGCTCCCCCACCCCCAAGACAAGCACTGGCTCCTACCGCTCTCCTCATCCCAGTCCTCCCCACTTGCCCCCTCCCAGAACCCCTCAAGGAAGGAATCTGCACCCCCCCCCCCATCCACTAGCACCTGGAGATAGGGCAGGTGGGGAGATGCTGGCCCAGAGGTTTGGTTTTTGTGGAGGGGGAGGGAAAGGGGGAAGGTCTGCCTCCCCTGGGCCCTTGAGGAGGAGGGGCTGGGCTGGTGCTTCCTCTCTGTTCATGAGGAGTGTGGGTAGCTAAGGGTGGAGAGGACGGACGCCCAGAGCCCATCCTTCTCAGGGACATCTCCATCTCTGCGCAGAAAAAGGGGCCTGGGGCCAGGGGGTGGGGGCGGGGGAGAGTCAAGAGCCCAAGACGCACCTACTCAGCAGGTTCACGGCCCCCTGCGGCTCCCACCTCTCTCTTCCTGCGGCTCAGAGAGAAAGGTAGAAGAGGCCGGGACCAGGAAGAGGGTGTGATAAGGGGCGCTTCCTAAAACCCCCCGGGGTGTACAGGATGGGGGTTGGGGGAGACCCGAGCTCACATCCCTGCTTTGCGCACTAGAGGCAGCAGAGCTGCAGAGTGAGGGCGGCACCAAGCCTCCCCTCCACCTCCCACCCCTGACTTCCCCAAAGCAGAGTCCTGGCTGGGCTCTCAGAGGTTCCGGGGAGACCCGCAGTCTCCCGCCCTGGCTCCCCAAGAGCCCCTGGGCTGGGAGGAAGGAGCAGGGGGAAGCTGTCAAGATCTGGGCTGGCAGCTCACTGTCCCCTCTCCTTCCGGCAGTGGTGGGACCCACCCGGGAGCCGGGAGCCCGGAGACCGGCATTAGTCCAGCGGCACTTTGTGCCAGGGGCTCAGGAAGAGAGGCCGGGGTCTCCCGTACCACCCAGACTGGACAGAGGACAGCAGGGGGCAGTGCCCAATCTGTCCCCCTGGAATGCGGGGCTTGCATTCCACAAACCCATCCAAGGAGCAGACGCTGGGGTGGTGGCCCCCCCGTCTCCCAGTGAGCGGGCCTCGGGTCTCAGTCCTCCACCCGCACCCCAGCACTTTCTTGGAGGGCTGTGGTCTCCCCTCCCGGCTCTGCGATCCAGCGGGAGCACTCTATTGGCGAAAGCGAATGGATAACTTAAACCGCTTCATCCCATCCCCCCCTTGCCCAAGCTCTTGCCACGGTCTTTCCCTCCACAAGAAAAAATCTAGCACAAAACTCCCAACCCGAGCAGCCCGAAGCGCCCCGCACTGAATGAGGACTGTGGAGCGGGGCGGCCCCGGGGCCAGGGCTCCAGGGAAGGGTTTCGGCTCTGGCTCCGGGGGCAGACAGCTTCCCCTCCACCACATCTTGTTCTCATTCTGCGCCCCTGACATCAGCCGCCGCCGGAATCTCCTTGTTGTGCCTCCAACCCGCGGGGTGGGGGTGGGGGGGTTAGGATCTGGTCCCCGCCCCCCCCCCCCATTTCCCTCTGGGTCAGTAAAAACCTCAGCCTCAACGACCAGGTTGCGGGTGGGGGTGGGGGTGGGGGGGTCAGACCCTAGAATGCACGGCAAACTTTGGAGCGGGGGTCAGAGGGGAAACCCAGGAGATTGCGGTCCCCCCTCCCCCGTCCCCGCAGCTTCCTCCCCTCCCCACCCCCCAAACTCGGAAACCGAACCCAGCTCGCTAACCGGCGGCGGCGGCGGCGGGCCGAGTGCAGCTCCCAGGCTCCCGAAGATTCCCACATCTGGAGGGTGACGACCCTCCCAAGCCCACATCTGGAGAGCATCCAGCTGCAAGCCCACGGGGCACGTCTCCTCTCTTTCCCTGGCCTGAATCCCAGCCCCCAGGGAGGTCTGAGGTGTGTGTGCCGAGGTGGGGCTCGCCAGGGCATCTGCCCAGCCTGCTCGCGCCTCTGCTCCCCTCTGACGCCCCCTCCCCTGCTCAGCAGCCTCCCTTCCACCTGACCGCCGTCCAGGCTCGCTCTTCCCACTCACCTGGCTCGGGGTCCCCTCCGGCGGCGCGGCCCGCCCCCCTGCGGACCCCCCAGCCTGGCCGTCGCGGCCGGAGGATATGGGTTACAGACCGTGCGGAGGCACCAGCTCCGCGGACGGCTGTCCTGGCTCAAGTAGAAGAAGACCACCGGGGCCAGCGCGGGGTACGGCAGTCCCTCCGCCTCGGAGTCCGCGCTGCCCGGGTCCTTCTCCGCCGACCCCGGCCCCGGCCGGCCCCCGGCCCCCGACAGGTCGTTGAGCCGCAGGAAGCTTCGGGGCTGTCCTGACTCCTCGGCGCCCGCTCCATCCTCCTCCTCGTCCATCCTCTGGCCAACCGGGGCCCCGGGCGGTCTCGAGAGGGACGAGCGGCGCCCCTCAGAGGAGGTGTCCTCACGCAACCGGGGGGCCCCGGAGGGGGCGCATCTGGGGGGCTCTAGGGCGCAGGCTGAGCCCCCGGGAGGGCCAGTTCAGCCCAGCTCCCCCTGCCCGCAGGGGCATGCTGCCCGCGGGGCGCCGGGTCGCTGGGAAGCCCCGCCCGGAGCGAGTTCCGCTACCCCAGGGCCCCGAGGGCCCCCCCGGGCCAGCCGGCCGGCTCCCCCTCACTTTGTTCCGGCTTCTTCGCTTCGCGCCTAGGCTCCAGTCGCCCGATTTGGCTCTACCTTCGGCGAAGCGGCCCCGATAGAGGAAGCGAGAAGGGGGGCGGCGGGCGGGGGGGTCCGGAGAGGGGCGCCCCCTCTTCCCGCGCCGCGGCTGGAGCAGGATCTAAGGGGTCAGCATCGTCCCGGCTCCGCGCCAGAGACGGCGGGGGGAGGGGAGGAGGGATCTCTTTGGGGGTGGGTTTGGAGGGGTGGGGGCCGGCTTCTTCCTCCACCCCGCGGCGGGCTCACGGTCTGCGAGAGGCGGGGAGACCGTGGGGGGCAGTCCCGGGCGGGGGTGGAGGCGGAGATGCCGCCGCCGCCGCCACCGCCGCGGTGGCTGCCGCTGCCGTAGCTTTCGCCGGCGCCACAGCCGCCTCCTCCGGCCGAGACGCGGAGCGAGCGAGCGAAAGCGGCGGCGAGGAGCGCGGCGCACACCGCAGCTGGATCCCTCACTCCAACTTCAAGCCTCGGCCCCGCCTCCCCCCAGCCAGCCTCGCAGCCAATCGCCGCGCGCCGTGGACCCCGAGCCGCGTGCCCATTGGCCGGCCGCCGTGGCAGTGCGGGCGGGGCGCCCCGGGAGAGAACCACAGCTGGAATCCGGTTCCCACCCCAAAGCCCAGGACCGCCCCTCTCTCCTCCTCTCCGCCCCGGGTCCGTTCCCGAAGGCCGGAGCCAATTAGACGGCTACCTAGACCGAACCCACTTTCCTATTGGCCGCTGGGGTCTCGGGGACTCCCCTGGAGGAAGCCCCGGGAAATCAGAGTATTCGGCGCGGGGTCCTGGGATCGCGCCGCCCGCCCCCACCGCCTTCTTTGTCCAAGACCCTTTAATTGGACGGTAGCCGGAGGGCGGGGCTCAGCTCTGGGCGGGCCTGGAGAAAGAGCGAGGCAGGCGACCCGGGTGTGGGGCGCGACCTGGATCCCAAGGGAGAAACCTAGGGATCCCCCAGATTAATCGCCCACCCTGGAGGAGAGCCCGAGCGGGACTGCGGGAGGAGAAGAGCGGAACAGGTTGCCCCGGGCACAGGGCTTGAGGCTGGAGGGAGCCCGTCTGGGGAAAACCGGCGGATCCAAGGAAAGGCTGGGGTGGGCAAAGTCTGGACGTGGCCTCTCCCACCCTCTTGGACTTGATCTAGTCCCAGTCCACTCCTGCTGCTTTGACCCTGACCTCGCATTGACACTCCTGAGCTTCATTGCCTCTGCCCCCAGGGATCCTGCGGAGGGTGTGCATTCCACGCGGGAGCTTTGCACTGGAACACGTGGCCCCCCGGCAGGTCACGCCGGACCCAGAGCCTATCCCCCAAAGCAGCTGCGAAGCAGAGATAGGCTCCTGCGAAGGGACCTGGGGTGGGGGGAGGCTCAAGTGTGGAAGCCCAGAGCTGGGCTTTGCTGACTCTTAACCTGCAAAGTTTCACCAACCCGCCATTCCGTGCCTCAGTTTCTCCCTCTCAAGTTCCAATATGGTTTATGGGGAGACAGCACGCAGGACAGGAGCTTCGTGGGGCTGCTCTCCTGGCACATCTCCAAGCCACCAGGAGCGGGACCACTCACGTGCAGCCCCCAGCCCCCACCTGGCCTCACCTTCCCGATTCACCTGCCCGAGCTCAGGCAGCCCTAGCCTGCTGGCCGCCAACTCAAAAGTCTGTGGGTACTGTGAGCAGAGCGCCGCGGGAGTGCTGGGTGCTGGGTGCTGGGTGCAGGGCGAGGTGGGGCGGGGAGAGCACCGAGGATTGGCGGTCGGGAAGCGCTTCCCCATTTGTGCTAAAGGTAGACCCGGAGGAACAGAGCCGGTCAGTCTCCCAAGCCTTCGGGATGCGTACACCACGGCGGAGAGGCAGAGGAATGGGCCAGATGACCTCCCGCTCCCGCCTCCCCCGCCCCCACTTCCGTGCTCCCTCAAGGCTGCGCCACTCGCGCAGCCCCCGCGCGCCTCCCGCCGCGTGGGGCGGGTGTCTCGGCTCCGTCCCGGACGGGTTGCGCTGAGTGCGGTGGGGAAGGCCAAGCGGCTGCTGCGCCGTCGCCTCCCGGTTTGCCCTTTCTCCGAGTCCCCGCACCGAGTTGTGCAAATGAGGCCGGGCTCATTTGCATTTCATGCTAATGAGCAGATCCCTTTGGTGCCTCTCTCCTGGCGGGAGTCTCTGCTCTCATTCTGCGTGTGCCGAGCGGAGCCGGAGTCTTGAACTCGCAGCGGTCTTCTGGGAGAGGGGCCTATTTATGGTTGGCTCCACGTGTCTGACACCTTCTTCCCTCCCGCCGGTCCGCAGTCTGCCAGGTCTGCCTGCCCTTTGCGCCGGCCGACTGGGTCAAGAGGCCTAGGGAAGGTAGTGACTCTAACCATCCCCTCTCTGCCAAGGGGAAAATGAGGCCAGAGCGGCTTGGTCGTGTTTCCTGGTGGTCAGCAAGGTCAACACCTTCATCCACCACCCAGGCCACCCCCTGTCTCTGGGCTGAACTCTGTTCTAGGACATATGCAGAGGGGTAGACACAGGCACCGTCTGAACAAACGGAGACCCACATTTACTTCCCTGGGCTAGGGGCCTGGGGTGACCTGCCACCTAAGGCATCCTGGTCTCTGTTCATGGCACCAGGGTGCTCTGACATCCCCCTCAGGGGTGCTCACTGTTAGCCTGAGGGAGGGAGGGGAGAGGAGAGACAGAACCCATAGAAGAGGCAAAGGAAACCTCGTAACCATCTTTCACTCCCACGGTCCACGCCCCATCTCTGACATCGTCTCCTGAGGGCGGCCTTCTCTCAGCAGTTGTGCAGTGCCTGAGTGCCAAGGTGCAGAGGACACAGCGGAGCTGGACAGGAGTCTGGAACCCCGCGGCACTTTGTCCAGGCGGGAGTAACACGGTTATGTCTGTAGTAATGAAATGATTCTCTCTCCCTCTAGGCTCTACGTTCCCTGAGGGCAGGCGCTATGTCCATTTGACTCACCAGGGCCTAATCTAATGTTTGGCAGATAAAGAGGTACTTAGTATCTATTATGTTAGATGAATGAGTGGATCTCAGGCAAGGAGAGGGAATGAGGGGGACAAGAAATTCCTTTTGGGGGGGGGGGGCTTCAGTTTCCCAACAAAGAAGTTAGGCCTAAGTGTTACCTAAGCTTTCTTCTGCGTTTGAGGGAGCACCCCCATATGTGCACTGCTCCGCCAGCGGCCCCTCCAGCCCTCACCCCTTTCCGCCTCCCTCACGCCTGGCCTGGCGGGCTTCCTCAGGAACCGAAATAATCTCCCCATCTGTGATGCTCTCTGCTCAGCAATAATACATTGTCCCATTCAGTCACCCCGCAGCCTTGGGAGTTGGGTGGTGGTTGTCCCATTTTTTACGTAAAGAAGCCGAGGCTTGAGGCTCGGAGAGATGAAATTAACTTAAGCAACTGCCCAAATCAGGAGGCCCTGTCTCCAATGGCCCTGGCCCACAGCTCTTCCCGGACAGTCCCGCCCACAGAGCAAGGAGCAGAGCAAGAGGGACCAGCGTGAGGGAGAGGGGGTGCAGACTTAAAGTCCCAGAGCCGAGCAAGACTTGCCCTCTTTAAAAAATGCAAGCACTCCCAGAGAACTAGCCCTTGAAGGCCCCAACGCCTTCCTCTGAACCCACTTACAGAATCCAGGTGCCTGCCTGGTACCAGAGGACGGGAAAGCAGACATACAGGAGCAGAAGGGAGACTGGAAGGAGGGACAGGAGACACCAAATGCCCCCTCCCTCACAGCTGGCTCAAGTGGTCTTTATTGGATCCTGAAGGCCCCAGCAAGAATCAGACGTGCTGAGCCACCTCAGGCCAATCTCTTAGCCTCTCTGGGCCTTGAATATCTTTATCCAGAGGCCGAAAGTATACTCACCTTGCCACCTCATTCATGAGGGCCAATGGGATGACAGAGACAAGAGGACTTTGCAAACTGCCTAGACCAATGGTTCTCAACCTTCTGGCCCTTTAAATACAGTTCCTCATGTTGTGACCCAACCATAAAATTATTTTCGTTGCTACTTCATAACTGTAATGTTGCTACTGTTATGAATCGTCATGTAAATATCTAATATGCAGGATGGTCTTAGGCGACCCCTGTGAAAGGGTCGTTCGACAACCAAAGGGGTCGCACAACCCACAGGTTGAGAACCGCTGGCCTAGACCTTTCCAAAGCTGAGGCTGGGGGTGCCAAAAAGGCCACCTGTGCTTCTCAGGGCTCCACCTCCTTCCTCGCTGCCCCCAGACCAGGCTCTCTTTGCCCAGCCCTCGGATTTCCTGGCAAGGCTGGGCAGGCTCCGGCCGGAAAGGGGACAGCTGACCTTGTTGGCCGGAGCCCTAATCCCCTCCAGATGGGCCGGTGGCTTGCACAGAGGGCCCAGCTGCCCGGATAAACCCTGTTTCCCAGTGACCATGTGTGACTGTGTGTGACCGTGCCCAGGGGGTGGCCAGGGTCCTCAGCAGACCTTGGAGTGACTCAGTCCAGTCTCCAGCTCCTCCATGCCCCGCTCCTCCCGCTGCTGGCATCCCCACAGCAGTGGCCACACTCGGGTCTGGTGTCCAGCAGCTCCTCCCGGCTATCTGTGCTGTTGGCTCTGAGGCGGCAAGGCTCAGCAGGCTCCTGAAGGTCAGGGTCGGGGGACAGCTCCGTCCCCTCCTCCCCACCTGTCAGCCCCTTCACCCGACACCTGCCCTTCCCAAAGCACAATTCCTAGTGCCCTCCACATGGTGGAAGCTCGATGGGGTTCCTGGGGCCTGTGAAGGGGTGGGTGCCAAGAAGGAGACTTGTGAGGATCTTCCAACATTGAGGGGACAGGAGGTCCTGGGAAGGCACAGCTTTCCCTGCAGCAGGAAGGGCTCTGATTCAGAGGGCTTCCAACTCAATAGGCATTCCAAGTGAGAGGAACTCTGCCCCTGACCTGGATGTCCTGCAGGAAGGCTTGGCTCCATCCTGCTGAGGCCGGGGGCTGGATGGACACCCCAAAAGAAACATCCTTGGTCCTGCTAACAGCAGCTCCCACAATGTGCCGGAGCGTATGGAAATGTTGTCATTTCATGGAAAATAAAAGTTAGTAGAAAGCATCTTCCTGCCCCTTCCCCAGCTTAAAACAAGAGGGGGTGATGGGAAGCGGGGGGCAGGCTCCTTGCTCAACACCACCTGAGGGCAAGAATTGGCTTTTCCCCTCCTGGGCAAGTCCACACTCCACCCCACTCCCACTCTCAGTGGTCACTGGTCATTACTGGTCCCCTGACCTCAATTTTACCCAGACCACAGTGACCACAGTGGCCGTGGCCAGGGGCAGGGTGACCTCTGAAGGTGAAGGAGGAATTTGAGAAGGCAGAGGGGTCCGTTAGGGGCTCCCAGAAGGAGGGGGCCTGGGCTGCTAGGCCTGGGCTGGAGTCTGAGGCCCCTCTCTCACAAGCAAGGACAAGGCCCCGAGGTCACCGCGGGACACTGTTAGGTTTATTTCAAGGTGAGTGGGTGCCCATGGGGTCAGTGTGGATGGCCAGGTCACCTGGTGACAGGGTGCCCAGGGTTGGCCGCAGGCTCTGCAGGGCCCTGCAGGGCCCATTCTCTGGTGGGTTGGGGAGCTCCGCCTCCTGCTCCAGTCCCAGCCCAGGGGGGCCCGGCAGTCAGTGATGCAGCAATTTTCGCAGTTCACTGGGCTCGGTGATAGGCATGGAGCAGGCTTGATTCTCACATACGTAGGCGGTGGCTCGGTCTTCTAGCCGCCGCAGGGTACTCAGAAAGGGCAGCTGGCGGGACAGGAAGCTCGAGGGGTCCCCATCGGCCAGAATCAGCACCTGGGTGGCGGCAGGAGAGAGGGGTCACCTGGGGCTGCTGGGACACTGGCAGAGAGGAGATGCTGGGGAGCCGAGGAGGAGAGGGCGGGGCCAGGCTCACAGCCGCTCACCTTGTTAGGGATGTAGATGGAGTGGACACACTGCACCAGAGCCTTGGTGTCCTTGGCCTGGGGGTCTCCACAGATGACGATCTGGGCACAATAGGAAGGGAACTCAGGGACCCATCAACCATAGGGCCCCAGCCCCCTCACCTGGGCACCCTCCAGTGTCAGGTGCAGGGGGGCTGGACCCAGACCTACCAGGGCTTCCCCATTGTCCCTTCACACCCTTATATCCTTAAGAAGAATGGGACTCTGCTCAGCATTCCCCAGACCAGCCACCAGGAGGCTGCCTCAGATTCACTGATGGGCAAGTAAGGACACAAACTCACCCCCCCCCACACACACACACATACATGTGCATGCAAATACGTAAGGTGTCATACATAGTGGTAGTGATACGAACATGGGGAGACACACACATGGGCAGAGACACATGCACACACACACACGGTACAAACACACAGAGACCCATACACGGAGAGACAGAGTCGTCACATATGCCCACATAGAGGCAGGTACCACATATACAAGCAACAGACACACATACACACACACATACATGTGCATGCAAATCCGTAAGGTGTCATACATAGTGATAGTGATACGAACATGGGAAGATGCACACATGGGCAGAGACACATGCACACACACACACGGTACAAACACACAGAGACCCATACACGGAGAGACAGAGTCGTCACATATGCCCACATAGAGGCAGGTACCACATATACAAGCAACAGACACACACACACACACACACACACACACACACACAGGGAGAGATATACAGGCAAACATGCGAATGTACAGCATATACCTGCACACACACCAGCAGACCCAACTACATGGTACACGGAGACATACAGAGAAACATTTCATCTGCCCTGGGGACCACCACCCACAGGGCCCCTGCCTCCTGTCCCCGGCTCTGAGCGCCCCAGTCACAGGCACTCACAGAGCAGCTGCTTGTGCCAGAGGCCTGTCTCAGATGCACACTCACAGACCCCTCCACCTGCACAGAGCGGCCCTTACAGCTGTTCCCGCCGAGACCCCTGCGCACAGACACTCCTAGATGGCCACACACTCATGGGCCTGAGCTCTGGGGGACGGCCCCATGTCCCCATCTCCCACTGTGGCACTAGCTTCCCTCCCACCCAGGCTCCCAGCCCAAGTGTCCTCGGCACCCCACCTGCTTGAGGGTCTGCTGGTGGGCCGAAAGGGCTCGGACCATCTCGGGCAATGCCACGGGGACACGGCGCATGCGCTCAGAGAAGGCGGTCAGCAGGCACACACATTTGTCTATCCAGTCCTTGTGTCCCGTGAAGCCGTGCAGCCGAAGCAGGTTGTGGGCCGACACGGAGTTGGCGCTGGGCTCGGCACCATCCTGGTCTGCAGGGTGCATGGGGGCAGAGCCCTAAGGGAGGGTCCCTGGGCTCCGGGACCCTGCCCCAGGACTGTGGCCAGGCCGGCTAGAGGGAGGGGAAGGAGAGGAGTCCCTGTCCACCCCTGGCCCAGGTCTGAGTGGAATGCCAGCACAGCAGTGATGGAGATTTTGCTCTCCCACAGGCACGGTCAACTCCCCTTCCCTAGACGCACTGTTGGTTCCCCCATCCCACTGATGACACCTCCATTCAACCACGCAGCTGCCAGCCAGGGTGGCATTCTCCTGGTCCCTCCCTTTCTCTCACCTCCCACTTCTAATTTCTCCATGAGACGGCTGGCTCTGCAGCCAGAAGAGACCCAAATCCTCTACTTCTCCCCTCTCACTCTTCTCCCCGGTCCAGGCCTTTGCCAGCACTTGCCTGAACTGAATGCCATCAACAAACAGCCTCCTAACCTATCTCCCTGCTTCCCCGCCCCATCCCTTCCCCACCTCCAGTCAGAGTGACATTCTTAGATCTAATCAGAGCAGGTCACAGTCCACTTAAACCCTTCAGAGCCTTGGACTCCTTGCCACGCCTACGAGACGTGCAGGGGGCCAGCCCCGCTCCTCCCCTGGGCACTCTCACAAGCTCATCTCTGCCTCCATCCTCCATGGCGCAGGCTGCCCTTTCCAGGCCTCTCAGAGGCTGTTCCCTCTGCCTGAAATCCCCTCCCATAACCTGCCCCCCTACCCCCCAACTCCTCCATGACCACAGGGCCCCATCTTGTCCTCTGACCCTTGCTTACATGAACTTGTCACTGGTTTAGTCTGACCTCCCTCCAGCTGAGTTCTGCTCTACTGTTGTTCTCTCTCAGTGCCTTTTATTCATCAAACTAATGTTTGTTGAGCACCCACTATGTGCCAAGCCTGTGCTAGACCCTGGGGATGCAGCAGTGGCAAAGTCCTGCTTTCAAGACCAGGTGAGGGGCAGGGGGGACCATTAACGGACCAGACACGTCAGGTGATGGTAAGCGCTACCGAGAAAAGTTAGGGGACAGGATGCAGAATGAAGGCCCCATACTTCCTCATGGCGCTCACAATTTTAACTATGCGTCTGTGCGTGCATTTTTGCCTTACGTATCACTATGTATTGGTTGTCTCCCCTGCTACACTATAAGCTTCATGAGAGGAGGAAACAAGTCAGCCTTGTCCGATATATGAATCCAGGCATGCCAGTTACTGTGCTAAGCACATTCACAGAAGAGTTCATCTTTACGTCAACCCTGTAAGCTAGCACCAGTGTTCACTCCACTTTGCATATTAAGAAAATGAGGCTGAGACCAGCCCCAAGTCACTTGGTGAGTAAGTGACGGAGATGTGCACCCAGGAGGGCCTGGCGCCTGCCCCCGATGGCTCTTCCCCACCCACCCAGCTTACGCCGCCTGCAGGGTAAACCAAGAACCCGTTGGGTCCAGGAAACCAGGCCAGCTCTGCAACCCCTCACTGACCATCCTTCAGGCGCAGGGGCAAGCCAGGCCCCAGCTCAGCCTCGCTGCAGAAGTAGCCGCCGCCACGGGAGTCCCAGAAGAGCCTGTCTTGCGTATCCTGCAGCCTCAGGGCCCACTCGAGCCACGCGCTCTCCAGCGAGGCCTCGTACAGGTCCAGCAGACCTCGCACCACGAAAGCGTAGTCCTCCAAGAAGCCCCAGCAGGGCGGGTTGCTGAGAAGACGGGCAGGGGGAGGGGAGAGAGACTTTCACAGAAGCGGCCCTTTGTGTGCATTCTTTCATTTAACACAAAAAATCTACCTCTCCGGTGGGTATCATTAGCCCATCTCCCGGATGAGCAAGTAGGCCCAAGATGGTCAAAAGCTCACAGCCGGCAGATGGCAGAGCCAGGATTGGAGCGTACCCAAAGGGGAGGATAGGAGCAGAGATAGGCCTGGGTGCCCGGGGAGATAAGCCTTCCTCAGCTGTTTGCCCACCCCCACCTGTGCTCCACGGTCCCCCCAGATCCTGCGTAGCAGGTCCGCATCAGACGGCTGCTGGCCACGTCAAACATGTGTCGCTTCAGGAACTTGGCACCATTGGTGGCGTAGCTGACCAGCCTCTCCATGCCCAGGACAGCTCCGGTCACAGCGTAGCCAGATACCATCAGTCCTAGAGGGAGGTGACACCAAGTGGTCGTGAGAAGCAGGCCGGGGCCCTCCAGGTGTGTCCCCTCCCCTAATCCCCCCCAAGCCCTGACGCCTCGCTGGAGCCATTCCATGAGGGGGTAGGACTTAGGCTCCAGCACCAGGCAGGGCTGGGCTCCTAGCCCCTGTTTGTGACCCTGGCTGAGTTACTTAACTCTCTGAGCCTCAGGCCAGAGACAATCAACCTGATTAGGGGAAAATGAATATACAGCAGGTGTCGGACACACGGAAGGGGCCTTGTGAAGGGTAATTCTATGAACGGGTCAGGCTTCAGACACGGCTGCCCCACCGTTCCAGGCGGCCAGCATCTTGCTGTCCAGGTGCGGCTTCGGCCGACGTTTCCGGGCCTGGAAGAGCTTCTCCAGCCCTGTATTGAGCAAGGTCCGGACAACCTCCACCTCCAGGCCAAAGCGGGCAGCAGTCAGCTCCAGAGAATACCGGATGGTCAGCACGTTCTGCCCCTGCAGCTCCCCCTTGGGGTCCTGCGGAGAATAGCTCTTGTCCGAGAGAGTCCATGAGCCTGTCCTCCGGCCCAGCGCCCTGCCCCTCCCAGGCTCCCAGGAGTCCTCACCTGACTGGGGCTGATGTTGCCGGCCTCCGTGAGCCCGTAGTGCTTCATGAGGAGCTGGCCGGAGGTCAGCGGCTCTGTGGCACCCAGCACGGGCTCTGGGAGCAGCTGCTGGACCTCTTTGATCGTCCACACATAGAAGGCGCCCTCTTTGGGCGGCATGCCCCGCTCAGGAGGCGAATCTGCATCCTCTGCGCTGTAGAAGCCTCCAGACTGTGGGGAGGGGAGAGTTGCTGGCCCCAGCCTTCCGCACGGCGGAGGCCCCGAGCCCTCCCGCAGCCAGGCCCGCCTGCCTCAGTGGACACACACCCGGTGACTCAGGTTCCGAGCCACATACAGCAGGATGCCTTTGGCAACGTCGGAATAGAACTCATCACCAGAGATCTGAGGGGAGGAAGGAGGCTGTCAACAGAGGTCCCTGGGCAGCCTAAGTATAGGGGGGCGGGCAACATCCTCCCAGGAGAGTGAGGAGGGGACCTGGGTACTGGCCTTCTGGAAGGGGATTGGGAGAGGGGTCAAGGGGGAGCCACAAGTTACCAGAAAGACCCTGGGAAGAGCAGCCAGGAGTAGGTAGATGGGCTGGGGTCAGGGGTCACCTGGAAGGCCTGTGAATAGGCCACTGCAAGCTGCCCCTGATCATACAGCATCTTCTCAAAGTGGGGGACGTGCCACTGGCGGTCCGTGGAGTAGCGGTGAAAGCCCTGTACAGACAGGACATGGGTCTGGAGGCCGACCCCAGCCTCTGCCCCCATCCCACTGCCTCCTGCTGCCCCCTCCGGGGAGCATCTAGCCCCCTCACCTGCCCTATGTGGTCTCGGATGCCCCCATTGGCCATCATTTTCAGGGTGTGCAAGGCCATCTGCTGGGCCCGGGAGCCGTCCTGGGTGAGTCGGTGGCTGAGCCAGTAGGAGAACAGGAAGCTCAGGATCACTGCGGGCGAGAGAATGGGGGGAACAGAGGGTGCAGATCTGGGTGGTCAGCAGGCCTCTGGCCAGGCTGGGGTTAGGATTTCACACAACTAGGCAGTCTCTCTGACAGGCTCGGGGTCAGGGGGTCAGTGGTCACCCCAGAGCAGAGAAGGGCTATATTCAGGTCAGTGTCAGGGTCACCGCTAAGGTCATAAGTCAGGTCTTGAGTAGATAGCTACTGACAGGATGGGAGTACGGAGAACGGGAGGAGAATGACCAAGCCATTGGCCAGGACAGGCATCAGAAAGCCAGGCTGGGGTGAGGCGGGCATGGGGGGGGGGGGCACTGACCTGGTGTGGGGAACTTGGGGGCCTCGGCGAAGCCGCCGTACTCCTCATCATAGCCCTCATCCAGCTGTTGGAAGCAGCGGCTGTTCATGGTGGCGGCAGAGGGTGGCAGCTGGCGGTCACCCGTGCTGATCTCCGACCGGGCCAGCAGGGCTGTGGTGACACGCTGGCTGTTTTCTAGCAGCGCGTTCTTGTTCTGTTTCCACTGTGCAAGGCAGGAGCAGACCCGGAGGTCAGCTTGGGTGGGGGTCCCTGGTTTCCCTCGCCCTTGACCCCTGCCACCACCACCCCCATTCACACCCACCTGATCCCGTATTCTCAGCAACACTGTCCGGAAGCCAACGCGGGTCAAGCCATCCTCAGGGGGGAAATAGGTGCCTCCCACAAAGGGCTGGAGGTTGGGAGTCAACCACACACTCATGGGCCAGCCCCCACCACTGCTGGTGGCCTGGTGGAGAGAGGGCAAGGGTGAGGGGAACGCCCCACCCCCACCCCCCGTGCCTGCGCACCCCCCCACCCTCCCATGGGAAGACCACGCACCTGCACGAAGGTCATATACACTTTGTCCACGTCTGGCCGCTCCTCCCGGTCCACCTTCACACTGACAAAGTCCTCATTGAGCAGGCGGCCAATCTCCTCGTTCCGGAAGGACTCCTCCTCCATCATGTGGCACCAGTGGCAGGTGGAGTACCCCACTGGAATGGGGCCGTGGGCCGCCATGGGGACCAGTGACTGGTCGGAGGGGTGCCAGCCAAGGGGGCCCGACGGGACTGTGGAAACCCTGACCCCTGGTTTTCTGGGAGGTCCCCTGCCCCTATCCGCCACCACTCTGCCCCCCCACCCCCCATCCCAGGGGAGGCCGGTGCATTACCTGAAAGGAAAATGGGCTTGTTTTCTTTCCTGGCCTTGTCGAAGGCTTCCTGACCCCAAGGGTACCTAGGCCGGCGGGGTAAGGCGTCACTCAGGAGCCCGGGGTGTAGGAGGAGCTGAGAGCCCGGCCGCCCCAGGAAGGGCATAGGGGGAGGCACTCACCAGTCCACAGGGTTGTAGGCATGTTGCAGGAGGTACGGTGACTTCTCACTGATGAGGCGGTTCGGGACCTTCTGGGGCGTGGACTGGACGCAGTTGGTGCGGCTGCCCTTCCCTCCGGCCGGCATGGACACTGAACTGCTGACCGACACACTGCGGTCCTTGTCCCGGGAGGAGCCACCCCTGCACCAGCAGGTGGGTCAGGCCAGGGGTCTCCCTCCACCACTCCAGAGGCCCACTCCCCCCCACCCCTGCCCTCTGGCACCCCTCCCGGAACCCCCTGCTCCCAGCCCAACCCACCTTTCTGAACCACGGGGGAGACTGTGGCCTTTGTGCTCCCCCTTATGTTTTGGGGGGGATGAAGAAAGGTGGCTCATTGGGGGCTCCCTGCCAGGTTAGCCTCCCCCAACTTCTCGGCCTGGCGGTGGGAAGGATGATGACTGTGAGGTCAGGGCAAGTCACAATGGGCAGAATGGTTGTTCAGGCTCCATTCTCTCCCCCTAGCCGGGCCCCTCCCCAGGATGATGGTTCTGGAGGCGTCTCTCTGGCATGCCTGGCGTGGGATCGGGCAGAAAGGCCGCCCGGTGCCGGTGGCTGGACAGGGCGAGAAGAGTTGAGTCTGGGACTGGACCAGGTTAGGGGCAATGAGAGGAAAATCGAGAGAACACTCCCTACTCCACATCGACTCACATGGCACTTCTGTGGGGCCAGGTCCCTTACCAGTCTGCCAGGACCCCTGGTAAATCAGAAACTGACCCTGATTTCAGGGGGCTCAGTCTGGAGGGCGGTGCTGCAGGGTAGCCTAATTCATGACAGGTCCCTGCACCAATCAGGGCTGTGACAGGCCAGCCCAGGGTGCTGTCAGACAAAAACCCTGGCCTAGCATTGGGGTTCAAGGAAGGCTTCCTGGAGGAGGGGTCCCAACAGAATCCCAGGGGAACTAGCCCTGCAGCTGGAGGGCAGGGGCTTGGAGGGCAGGAGGACGCTACTGCCAGGGCCAGGGCGCCAACTAGGGAGTGCAGAGGGGGGAGGAGTCAGGCGTGAGGGGCTGGCCAAGCATGCAGCCCGCCCGCCCGCCCACCCGCCCGGGATGCCTGGACCTGGGGCCCAGCAGGCACAGGACACGCAGTAGCGACCCACTCGCCCGCCTGTACCTGCGGCTGGAGGCGAGGCAGGGGCTGGCGCGCAGCTGCAGGAGGCCGCGGCACAGCCAAGTTCGCGTGCCCAGCATGGCTGCTCCCGGTCTTGGGCCCGTGCGCTGCGGACCCGGAGGGAGGGAGGGAGGGAAGGAGGGAGGTCTGGAGGCCGCAAGGGGCGGGCCCGGGCAGCGACCTAACCGCCGGCTGGTCTTGGCCACCATTCCGGGCCAGTGACTGGTCTCAGAGCGCCTCCTGGTGGCCGAGCGCGGGATTCCATACAGGACAACCCGGGATTGGGAGCACCTGGGTGTGCGCACGAAATTGGGTGGACTGGGCTAGACCTAAATCAGCTGTTTGAGGGAGGATCGCCCTCCTGAGGAGAAATGAGGGATTGGCGGATGCCAAGGCCGTGGAATGCCAGAGCCCTGGCTTATTTTGTCAACCCTTGCCCATTTTAGAAATGAGAAATGAGGCCGGAGCAGAAGATATGGTTTGTCGGGCCCATCCAGCCAGTGAGCTTTGCCTCGGTGCCGCTTCTCCATATCAGGGTCCGGCTCAAATCGCACCCACTCCAGGAAGCCTTCCCTGACCAACAATGACGAACCCACTTTCTGTCCCATCAGATACTTTACACACGTGTCTCATTTGCTACATTCTACCAATATTTATTAAGTGCCCCCCACTGCCTACCAGACACTCTGCTAGTTACAACGGTGGCAGAAAGACCAGGCACCTGCCCTTGTGTTGCGGCACAGTCTGATGAAGGAGGTAGAAGCTCATTTGAAAGCCATGCAAATGAATGTACAACCACCCACGGGGAGAAGGACCATGACTAAGTATAACAAGGAACCTGGTCTGGTGGGAGAGGCAAGGGGGGAAGGCTTCCCTGAGGAAATCATGTTTGTGTAGCCGTCATCAAAGAACAAGAGGATGGAATCTGGAAAGGACAGGTGGGGAGTACTGGGGAAGCAGGAGGGAGAGATATGCAAAGGCCCTGGGGCAGAGCAGTGTGAGTCAAGGCTGAGGATCTGCAGGAGGCCAGCCTGGCAACAGTTCAGAGCACAGGGAAGAGAGGCGGTACATGAGACTGAGGTTCAGGCCCAAGTCTTTGAGGGACTCCTGAGCCGGGAGAGGGAATTTTGTTGTTGATGAGAGCAGAGGGAAGCTGTTGAAGGGCTTGGTCAGGGGAGTGACCCTGCGTTTTGGAAAGCTCCCTCTGTCTCCCCAATGAAGAATGGCCTGGAAAGGGGCAAGAACAGCAGCAGGAGTGGTGAGGAGGCCAGAGCCGGACCAGAGGAGGCTGTGGAGGTCTGCACCAGGTGGAGGTGGAGACAGAAGGGGATGTCAGTACAGGGAGAGGCTTCGGTGGGGTTCATGAGGTCAATTCTGAACATGCTGGCTTGAGGAGCCCTTGAGACATACATGTAGACATGACAAGGCTTGGATGCAGAGGAGAGGTGGGTGGGCGAGAGGAATCTGGGTGCTCAGCGTGGAGACAGTGCGGGCACAGGAGAGATCAGGCAGACTGTAGTGAGAGGAGGGAAGCAGGCTCGGGCCTGGCTGGAGGACTCAGGAGTACATCCATGAAAGACAAGAGGGGAAATGGCCACAATATCAAGGGAAAACCAGGACAGGGTGGCACCCCAGAGGCAGTGGGACAGAGAGTTGCAAGGGGAGGGGTCCATGTGGTCAGACTCCAGAGAAGCCAACTGGGATGGGACACAAAAAGGTCCGCTGGCTTTAGCAACATGGCCATTGGCGGGCCTGGCAGATGCTGTACCAGTGAGGTGAGGCAGACAGCAGAGGCTGGTAGAATGGGGTGAGGGCAGGGAAAGGCAGGGGACGCAGAGAGTAATGGACATGATGTGAGAAGAAAGACACTTTCGAGATGGGTGAGGCTAACTGTGACCAACACCAAGGGGAAGGATTCGGTTTAGAGAAGGCAGTTGATATGGAGGAGTCTCAGAGACGCTGAAATGACACCAGGGTTGGCAAGCCGGAGTCTGGTGGGTGCTCCCTGGGAGACATGAGGGCAGGGTCAGAGACCAGGAAGCCTGCGTGAATGTGGAGGAATCCGGGGTGACAACCACCTCCAGAGTGTGACCATTGGTGAGGGTTGCTGAGGTGTCATGGAAATGCAAGGTCATCCTCTCGGACAATAGAGTCACCTGGGATTTAGCAAGACCTGGCTGAGTAGAAGACTGTGAGCCAAGACGGAAGCATGGCAAGAATGAGGTGGAACGCAGCCCTTGGGGGGTGGCGGGAGGAGGCAGGGACAGCCCAGTGGTTCCCAGCCTTCAAGGAAGGAGGGGTCTTACAGGAGGAAGATGGTCTAGAAGCAGCTGTGGGGAGCGAGGATACCAACCTCTTCTTCGTGGGAATCAAAGCAGCACCCCTTGGGGGAGAGGGTCCGGGAAGCGGTGTTCCCGCGACAGCCAGTTTAAAAGAGCCTGAGTAGGGGAGAGGTGAAGGGCGGTCAGTGACCAAGAATGGAGACCACCTGTGTGTGGGGGCAGAAGACAGATGCGGGCTGGATTCGCACTGCCTGCAAACCAGGAATGAGGGGGATGGCAGGTTAATCCTCCCGGTTAGCCTCTGCGGAGGGTGCACCCCGGGCCAAATGGACAGTGGCCTGGGAGGAGCCGCAGAGCCACCTCAGAAGGAACTCTTGTTCCCATTTGACAAGGAAATGGAGGCAGAGTCAGAGAGAGGTTAAGTAATTTACTCAAGGCCAGGGAGCATAACCACTTATTACTAAGTGATTATAGTATTATTATTAATTACTGTGTGCAAATCTTGGAGCAGAGTTTGAACTCTTGTCAGTCTGACTCCTAAGTAGGTGCTCTTGTCCGTCCTGCCTTTCCCAGCCACGGTGGGACTCCTTGCAAAACAAAAAGCGCTCCTTTCCCCACCCCAGCCTCAGGAAGGAGAGCAGCACCGTGTGTCTCCCGAAACCCCAACTTCGGTGTTTCTGGCCTATGGAAGGCTACTGTCTCCCTGCACCCCAGAGGGGCTGGGGCTGGCAGCCTGCGGGGCCAGACCCTGAGCACCAAGGTCGCATCAGTGTCTGGTGGCCCAGTGGTTGCAGAGCATTGAGTAGGAAAGGAGGGATGGTGACCAGGGTGCTCCCAGGATGAGGTAACTGTCCCCCACCCCCACCCCCACCCCCGCTTAGTTTCCCAGATCCCGCATAAGCCTTCAGGCCCCCTCTGCGTGACTGAGATGGGGTTTACTGCCAGCCCTGGGAAGGAGAGGAGGGCCACGCAGGTTGAAGGGGACTCAGTAAAACAAAGGAGCCTGGGGGCTCCTGTACCTGGCTCGCCTGCCCCTGAGTTCTGAGCTCCGGAGGCTGTGGGCTTAGGGATGCTTAGTCATTTCTCCACAGTCAAGCCCAGCACTTGGTTCACGACAGTCTGTCAATATTTGCCGATTAAGCCTGCTGTGCAGCCTGGGGCCTCCAAGCCAGTGGAGCCAAACGGTCTGACGATGAGTGCCGGCCCCACTCTGGGCTAGCTTGGTGACTTTGAGCCTCAGTCTCCTCCTCTATAAAATGGGTTTTGCACTTGGTTGAATGCTCTGCTGTCCTCATTTTGACCTTCGTAACCCAATTTCGGAGCAAGGGGCCCCGCATTTTCATTTGGGGCTGGGCCCCGCAAATAACGTAGCTAGTCCTGAATGGGAGCCATGTTACCTACTTCAGAGGGCGGTTGCAAGAATTAAAGCAAGTAATCTGCCTAAAGTGCTTAGCACGTGAGTGCGTAGTAAATGGGTTCCTCGCTATTCCATCAACCCGACGCCCATGTGCGACAAATGAATGGAAATGATCAAGTGAGCGAGGGCTGAGGGAGCATCCGGGAGCGACAGTGCCAGGCTGCGGGGGGCTGTGCGGGAAGGGGGGCGATCGCCACCGCAGCCGGCGCTTCGCGGTGTGGTCCAGACCTGGCCGCCACGTCCCGCAGAGAGTCCGCTTGGTGAGAGGAGACCCTGGGTTCCAGTCTTTATTGCGGGGACGTGGCCTCCCCCCGAGCAGTCCAGTGGTCGTCTCTAGCTCCAGGGCCTCCCAAGCAACTGGGTCGCCGTCGGGGCTTCCCCAGCGGATCCTAGCCTCGCCCCAAAGTCTGGGGAGCAGGTGGGCGCGGTCCGGGGCCTCGGCCGGCCGCAGGTGCTCAGAGGAAGGGGTTGGTGCCGGCCTGCGGGGCGGGGTGCAGCGGCCCGGCTGAGTCCAAGGAGGGGAGCAGCGGCGGCGGCAGGCTCGCGGGGGGCGGCGTGAAGGCCCCGGCCCGCGGGAAGACGCTGACGGAGGCGGGGAGGGTCCCGGCGGCGGGCACGCTGCTCAGGGGGAGGGGCAGGGAGGTGCTGTAGGTCATGGAGCTCAAGGACGCCCCCAAGGGCCTGCCGGCCGCAAGGCCCAGCCCGGGCGACCCGGTGCGCATCTGGTTCAGGGTCGGCCTGCCCGGCTCGCCTGCGCCAAACGGGTTGGTGGGGGATGGAGCGCTGAGATCTGCAGAACGAGAAGGGGGGTGGGGGGTGGGGAGAGAGGGAGGGTTTGGAGTGGGCCGGGGACATAGCCCTGAAATAGGAGGGGGACAAGATCTGGGGCTTTAGAAATAAGAAGAGTGGGATTCTAGGGCAAGGGCTGGGCTCTGAAAGGAGGGGCGGAGGGAGGGGGCAGGGGAAACCTTGCAAGGGACAGGGGTGTTCTACCTGTCAGGAAGGGGTTCCGGGTCTTTGCAGCCTGGGGCGTCTTGACTAAGGAGTCAAGGTTGACCAAGGAGGAGGCCGAGGGGCCCAGGAAGGACTCGGGTGTGCGAGCGCGGGCCTCCTTGCTGGGCTGCGTTAGGGCTTCCCCCACTCTCCCCAGGTCAAAGGCATCTGGCTCCTTGGTACCATTTTGCTTGGAGCTGGGGATGGGGTCTCCGAACAGGTCCAGCTCTGGAATACAAGTGGTCGGGAGAGGGGCTGGTCACCTGGCAGGAGGAAGAGGGCAGAGGCCAGCTCGGGGCAGGACCCTCGTTCCCCAGGGCGGTGCCATCCCCTGCCTCCTGCTTACCCACAGGGCTGCTGGGCTTCCCTGAGGGCAGGGCCTGGGCACCCTCCAGCCCCGCCTTGGTCTCTGTGGATCC